GCTGGAAACTAATCAAGGAAAGAACCAACTAAGGAGAAATTTCTTGACAATGAGAACAATTAGTCAGTGGAACGACTTGCCTCCAGAAGTTGTGAATGTTCCAACCACTGCAGGATTTGAATAATAAATTGGACAACCATTTGTTTGAAATGGTATAGGGGGCTGGATTAGAAGACCTCCAAGATCCCTTCCAACTCTGTTAATCTGTTAATACCAGTCCGACTGCAGAACCAGCAACCCACGTTGGATGTATTGAAGTAGAGGCTATACAAGCTTCCATTGGGGATGTTTTAATTTGGATGATTGTTTTGAGCAGGGAGGTTGGATCCAAGGCTCTAAGTAGCTTCTTACAACTCAGTGTTTCTGTGGCTTTGGTTTAATGTACAGGTAGTCCTTGACTTCCAACAGCTCATTTCATGACCATTTGAGGTTACACTAGCCCAGCCCCAAAGATACTCATGACCTGGTTCTGAAGTTATGACAGCTCCCCCACCCTATTCACATGACTGCATTTTGGATGCTTGGCAAATGGCTCACATTTACGGCTGTTTGCAGCATTCCCCTGATCATGCGACCACGATTTACGTTTCTGCTGAAAAATGGCGTTTGCTTTCAGTTTTCAGCAAAAATGCCCCATAGCAAACAATAGGTTCACTTAATGTCTGCAGTGTTCATTTAATGAGTATGGTGATTGGCTTACTGACTGACACACACACACAAATCCTAAGAGTGGATCAGTCACGTGATGATCTGCTTTGCAACTATGACTGTCATGGGCAGGTTCCATCATAATCATAAATTGAGGACTACCTGTATAATCTGACATGAAAGAGAAGTGTGGCATATTACACCCTTGGCAAGCGTATCTCCATAAAAAAATTAACACCTCAGTACCTTGTCTGCTGCTGATAGCCTGGTCCATGGCTTGTCTGCTCGTCGATCGTAATCCTGTGCTTTTGCCACCTCCACATAATCGCTGAATCGGATGAGGATTTTTCTGTCTCTTAATTCATCAACCGTAGGTCGTTGATTAAGCTTTGGGAGGAAAAATTCATGCAATGTGAGAACTGTAAAGAGACTTGGGTGCAGGATATTCACAAAAATGCCCACATTTCCTTTCTGCTGACTTCTTTGGATCACATATAGGAATGTAAGAACGTGTTTCTATTTGATACACTTGCTCATTCATGATGAAAATATAGACATTCCTTGGGCTACCTTACAATTGCTCTGTTGTAATAGCAATAGCACTTAGACTTATATGCCACTTCACAGTGCTTTACAGCTCTCTCTAAGCAGATTACAGAGTCAGCCTTTTGCCCACCTCGGAAGGATGGAAGGCTGAGTCAACCTTGAGCCTGGTGGGATTTGAACTGCTGACAGTCGGCAGAATTAGCTTGCAATACTGTGTTCTAACCACTTCACCGCCACGGCTCAGTTGTAAACTCTAGATGTCTCCTAAGAAACTTCTTTTCCTTTTTAATGTTGCATTTAGTACCTTGAAAACTTATCTATTTCTGATAGGTCCCTTCTTTATAGCAATAGCAGTTAGACTTATATACCGCTTCATAGGGCTTTCAGCCCTCTCTAAGCGGTT